TTATTTAAATGAATGATCATTAATTTAAATATTTAATATATATATATATATAAATATTCAAGAAAACATTAAAGTTTATTTACTTATTTATGTGAATGAATATTTAAGTAAATAGTTAAGTTGTTTGCTTGTTGGTTTGTTTGTTTAAAAAGCATCTTCATATCTGAGTAAAATCTGTGTTGCTCTTCATTCTGCTCTGTGAGGAATAACACAGAAGTCGGTCTAGTCTGTGTTTCGCTTCACGCTCAGGGTTCTTCGGTTCTGTTGTGAAAGTGTTTGATTAGCGTCTCCTGTTGTCTCTCAGACGGGGTTCAGCTGCTCTCATATTTATTGCTCTCGTTTTACCATCTCGTCTCACCGGATGAGTGTTGGGAAATCCGTCCGGTAGTTTGCCTCATTTTCATAAAGACAAATATGACCCTGCAGCACAAAAGCAGTGTTAAGTCTCTGGGGTATATTTGTAGCAATAGCCAAAAATACATTGTATGGGTCAAAATTATAGATTTTTCTTTTATGGCAAAAATCATTAGCAATCTTCAGCACCAGAGCAAAAGAAATCATACTGTACCTGAGTTTACCTTCTGTATTGAATGTAAAGCAATGAAAAGACTGTATAGTACTGTGTCCAACCAGTGCAGCCTGATTCTGAAGCAAATTATTCTTATGAACGGTTCTTTTTAGTGAATCAAACACATTCAGTCCAAACAGTGCGGCCTGATTCACAAACAAATCTTATGAATAATTATTTTTAAGTGAATCAAAAATATACAGCGCAACCAGTGTCGTCTGATTCACACGTTTGACTCTCATGAACAGTTCTTTTTAGTGAATCAAAAGCATACAGTACAACCAGTGTAGCTTAAGTCAATAACAAATGACTCCTATTCTATGAATAGTTATTTTTAAGAAATCAAACACACTGCGCAACCAGTGTAACCTAATTCACACACATTTGACTCTTGTGAATGGTTCGTTTTAGTGAATCAAAAACATACAGTGCAACCAGTTGAGCATGATTCACAAACAAATTACTCTAAAAAACAGTTCTGTTTCGCTGGGGTATATTTGTAGCAATAGCCAAAAATACATTGTATGGGTCAAAATTATTGATTTTTCTTTTATGCCAAAAATCATTAGGCCCTTAAGTAAAGACCATGTTCAATTAATATATTTTGTAGATTTCCTACTGAAAATATATCAAAATTTAATTTTTGATTAGTAATATGCATTGCTAAGAGCTTAATTTGAACAACTTTAAAGATGATTTTCTCAATATTTAGATTTTTTTGCACCCTCAGATTCCAGATTTTCAAATAGTTGTATCTCGGCCAAATATTGTCCTATCCTAACAAACCATACATCAATGGAAAGCTATTTATTCAGCTTTCAGCTGATGCATAAATCTCAATTTCACAAAATTGACCCTTATGACTGGTTTTGTGCTCCAGGGTCACATATGTGCCGTTTACTTACTGTACTCAAGTCAGATGAATGCATGAGTTACTCATTTTAAGCACCTCTTGATTTGTACAAGCATTTTCTGTTTAATTAGGGCTGTTGATAGATAAATACAAAGAATTATTTAAAAAAATAAAATAAAACAAAAATTGTTTTCTTTAAAATAAATGTGCTCTTAAGAATCCTTCGCAGTAAGACATGAAACATGCTTTTACATGTAACATGTTTTATTCAGTGTAACAAGAAATTTGTCTAAAATTATATATTATTTCCTTCAAAATGTTTAGTACTCAATATTCATTTAAAACAAATCAATTTCAATGTATTTATATATTTTTTCAATCTTAAAAAACGGAAAGAAAACATAATATATTGGCCCCCTTATTTTTTATTGAATTTTTTTTCTCTCTTTTTTCCACCCAAAATGATATTTTTATTTTCCAAATTATATTTTTTATTCAGTTTTAATAGTCAATTTAATTAGTAATTAAGTTGAAATCATACAATTTCACAACAGTTTATTGAAGGATTAACCAAAAAAAAAGAAAAGCATTTTCTTGCCCTCTGAGATCTGTTTTACTTTTTCCTAAATTCTGTTATATTTTTTCAAAACTCCGTTTTCCATTTAAATTTCTATGCATTCTGTTTTAATGCTTTAAGTACACTTTAATAAGAATAAAGCATGTCTAATCAATTTAAATTTTATTTATTTATTTTACTTTTATAGGGCCCTATGAAATCTTGTATTTTTCCAGAAATTCGGTGTTGTCTTTAATTTTTCTGGATTACATGATTCAGTACATGTATTATTAGAAACTATAATAGTTTTTAACTAATTAACTATAATAGTGATAATCAAATGAAGGCATAGTAGTTTAATAGTTTAATCTTTTAAGAAATTTAATCAAATGAAAATGTGATAATTATTTTTATTTTTTGGCAAACAAAGTGCTGCACAACAGAGGTTTACTGTTACAATTCAAACTTTTAAAATCTTATAATTGAATCTTATTAATTTGTAAAAGAATTAAAACTTAAATAATAATAATAATAAAAGTGCAGCACAACTTAGGTTTACGGTTACAATTCAAACTTTTAAAATCTTATAATTAAATCTTATTAATTTTTAAAAGAATTAGAACTTTAAAAAAATGTAAATACCTCTTAAAAATAATAATAATAATAATAATAAAAGTGCTGCACAACAGGGCTTTACTGTTATAATTCAAAATTTTAAAATCTTAAAATTAAATCTTACTAATTTTTAAAATAATTTAAACTTAATTAAAATACCTCTTAAAATAAAATAATAATAATTATTATTATTATTATTATTTGAGAAGTACATTCTATTGTACAGTAGTAATACATCTCTGTCACAATGTCTTTGAGTTCAACAGAACTTTTATTTTGAAGGGTTGCTGTGAAGCGCGTTTGTGTTTTTAAACCTGCTGCAAAGCGATTTGATGATTTGAATATATCTGATATTTGAATATACGATGCGAAAGAGAGTCGAGAGTTCCTTTACACCTGTTTGTGCACAGAAGGTTTTTCTACGTCTTCTCATGATTTCTCTCTCGTCTCGTCTCTCAGGGAGTTCATGCCGAAGACGGTGGGCCTCGATCCCAGTCCGTTCACCGTCCGCAAACCAGACGAGAGCGCAAAGTCAGTGCTGGGGTGAGTCTGAGAGATCTGCTGTTTCCTTCATCAGCTCAGTGGTTCACACAGGTTTGTGCGTGCGTGAATACCTGTCTGCCGTCCTTCAGGTGTGAACGGGATTCTCACACGAAAATATGTGCGTTTATATCCTGAATATTCAGATCTGGTGGCCCGAGCTTCTCTTCCCGGCACTGCTTCCTGCAGGAAAACACAAAAACAATGATGCCGAATATATACACAATAACCAGGAGATGCTGAATCTTTAGTTGCAAAAAAAGCGTTTTGAGCTTATGAATGATGGTGAAAGAGAAAGACTGGCCACCAAACAAACAAACAAACAATAAAATGACAACAAATAATCAACTTCATACCACATCCTCACTGACTGCATGCAGAAATAAACATAGTGTTTGTCAAATTCACGAATTAATCACTTAGTTGATGCAATTATTGTTAATGAATCAGTCAAACCATTTGGTGAATCAGTTGATGATACTTTTATTGATCAAGGACGCATTAAATTGATCAAAAGTGGCAGTAAAGACATTTATAATGTTACAAAAGATTTGTTTTTCAGATATCACAGCATCACAGTTTCCACCGAAATATTGGGCAGCACAACTGTTTTCAACATCGATAATAATCAGAAATGTTTCTTGAAAATTCACAGAAATGAATTGCATTTTAAAATATATTACAATAATATTTACAAAATATTTTACAATATTTTTTATATTTATTTGTTTATTTATATTATATATATATATATATATATATTTTACATGTTTTTAATGTAAAAAATACAGAAAAATTGTTATTATATAATAAAGAAGTTATTTTAAAATGTAATAATAATAAATAATAATGAACTTCAGAACCCTTAAAAATTATGTTCTATATAGTATGAATATGGGTAGTTTATTTCTGTTTTCAATTTAAGTAAATATTACTTTCAAGTAACAAAAATGAAAAACTAATTAAACTCAAATTAAAAACTTAATAAAACTATATAAAAAATGAATCTAATAAAAATGTCAAAAACACAACAAAATTACTAAAACTTTAAAAATTTAAATTAATTTAGTGTACTGGTGCTTGAACATTTGCTGTTCAAACATGCAAACTGTTTTACATTTATATTTTTTAACAAATAGTAGGTAGTGTACAGTATATACTGCACAGTATTCAAAAAGAAGTAAGCAAGTAGTTTCAAACTTTAGTAGGCTATAGTGCTGTTATAGTTATCTAAATCTATATATATATATATATATTAATTGAAATAAAATTTATAAATAAACTTATTTTATTTTAGGTAGTTGTCAAGGCAGCATTTCTCATTTTCTTTTAGTTTAGGTTGAAGTACTGAAATAACTAAAACTAAGTAAACTACAACTTAATAAACGTAATAAAACACTTTATTTGAAAAAAGAAGTAAGCAAGTAGTTTCAAACTTTAGTAGGCTATAGTGCTGTTATAGTTATCTAAATCTATATATATATATATATATTAATTGAAATAAAATTTATAAATAAACTTATTTTATTTTAGGTAGTTGTCAAGGCAGCATTTCTCATTTTCTTTTAGTTTAGGTTGAAGTACTGAAATAACTAAAACTAAGTAAACTACAACTTAATAAACTTAATAAAACACTTTATTTAAAACAACCAACAACTAATAAAAATTAAACAAACAAAAAACATAAAAAGAATGACTGCAACTTTAAAAATAAAATTAAAAAAACACAAAATATATAAAATTAAAAAATAAAAACTGTTTCAAAATATTAACAGTATATCAGTGATACTACTGAATCATTTAATTGATAATATATATATATATATGACTATCAATTATATATATTTAATTTTATTTAATCCATTTAATCATTCATTTAATTATTATTTTTTAATTTAGATATTATTTATATTTAAGTATTTCTGTATTAAACATACAAAAACTTTAACTGCAACTTTAAAATTAAAATAAAAACACAAAATATAGAAAAAAAACTGTTTCAAAATATTAAGAGTATATCAAAGATACATCATGAATTGATAATTAATTTTATATATATATATATATAGAGAGAGAGAGAGAGAGAGAGAGTAATAAATGCAATTATTTATTTAATTATTTTTTATGTAATTATATTTATTTCTTTTAAAAGAATTAATATAATTACTTTTTATATTATGTTTTTTTTCTATTATAAAAAATGATGGAAGAATAAATAAAATATTTTAACCGAATTTAATCCTATCAACAAATAATGTATTTAATTGTAATATAATTATTATAGTTAATGTAATTAATTATTGTTTATATTATTTTATTTTTCTAATATTAAAATTGAGCCAAAAATATAGTAACTTTACCAAACTTTTTTAACAATTGTGCCACAAACAGCTCAGAAAAAATGATAAATACAAACTAGACCATACAGACAACATTCACAATCAATACTTAATTATTTAAATTGTAAATAAATAATTAATATAAGTATAATAACCCTATGTGTGTGGAAATATATTTGTATGTATGTATGTATGTATATATATGTGTGTAAACATACATATTTATTATATCAAGTCAAGTGCAATGCATTATTATACCTCCAGAAAAACTGCACACTGTCTCCTCAGAACTAGTATGCAGGGTGTGATTGTGAAGGTCCCTCAGATTCAGTCGTGAACACAGAAAGAGCTTCCAGAGTTAGTCTGGTCTGGATCTGCTGATGGTTTAATTCCAGAGCGGCTCTGAATGGACAGATGGAGATCAGAAAGGGCAGCGTGTCCTCGGTGTGGAGATGAGTCAGTGACGCAAAAGAAGTTCATTCCACAAGCAGCAAATGTGAAGAACTGCTTCCGTTTGAGATCTTTCCAAATAATTAGGATGAGAAATGTGAGTCATGTGACCAGAAGAGAAGCCAGCTGATGTCCTGAACGGAACAGAATTGGATCATAATTACGTTTTTTTGAAAGTTTGGTTTGTATTTATATTTTTTTCTGAGCTGATTGTCGCACAATTATATATTTTTAAAAAAAACTTACAATTTTTGAAAATAAATTATATAATATAAATAACAATGCATTACATTAACTACGTTAATTATATTAACAGTTAATTACATTAATTACATTATACAAAAATGTCCCTCACTTTTTATAATATAATATAATATAATATAATATGACATTTAATTTTGTATAATGTAGTATTTGTATTATAGGAAAAAATATAAATGATAATGAAATTATTTACACACACACACACATACAAATACACAGACACACTCATATATATATATATATATATTTTTTTTTATTTTCCTACATTTTTGTATTAAAAAATATATATACATTAAAATGTATACAGTATATATGATAAATAATATATTTTCTTCAAGTTGTATATTAAGAAAAAAATATATAATGTACATATATAAATTATATTAAAATATATATAAAAAAATATAAAAATATATATACTTTTATATAATGTAAATAATAATAAAATGCATTTACTGATTGATTTATTTATTTGTTTGTTTGGTTGGGTGTTTGTTAGGAGTTATTTATGTTATATAATTTTTTATATACAAATTGAGCTAATAGAATGACCTATTTTTTATATTTGTTTAAAACTCACAATTTGCTCAAAAACATTTGTGATTTGTAATTGATGTGATGTTTATGCAGAACTCTCCTCTGTGATTTTAGGGTGATGTGGGTGGTTGCCAGGGTGTTGCTATGTGGTTGTCAGGGTGTTGCTATGTGGTTGTCAGGGTGTTGCTATGTGGTTGCTAGGGTGTTGCTATGTGGTTGCTAGGGTGTTGCTATGTGGTTGTCAGGGTGTTGATATGTGGTTGTCAGGGTGTTGCTATGTGGTTGCTAGGGTGTTGCTATGGGGTTGTCAGGGTGTTGCTATGTGGTTGCTAGGGTGTTGCTATGTGGTTGCCAGGGTGTTGATATGTAGTTGCTAGGGTGTTGCTATGTGGTTGTCAGGGTGTTGCTATGTGGTTGCTAGGGTGTTCTGAGCGGAACTGATTGATTGATTTAATCCAGTCATTATCTCTTAAGTATGAGCACTAGAAATAGTGATTTGTTAAGTATGAGTGTGAGTTTGTGATCAGTGGATGCTGCCGTCTGTCAGTGTTTTCATGTGACACTGAAGCAGTGAAGGCTGTTTTCTGGGCTCTGTGTGAGTCGGTATGTGTCCGCAGACGCCCGCGCTCAACAATACCCCTGATCCCTCCTTTATTAAGATCTCCAGTGTGATTCTGATGATGCTGTAATCGGGTTTATATCCTGGAGAAACGTTACCTGAGGAAACATCTTCATTTCAGCTGCAGTTCTTCCTATTGTGTGTATAGAGTCAGTAGGGATCTGGTGAATTGCATTGCTTATGATACCTATAATCCTTTCTAATTTGCAGCGTACAAATTACACTAACTGATACAGTATTGCTCATAATGCAAAGCATAGAGAAAAACATGTTATCAATTGCAAAATTTCTTCATATATTTAATTATTTTGTGATAATAGTTGTTCAATTTTGTCCATTATGTCCCTTCTGAAATCAGTCTTACTGTCATAAATGTTTTGCTTTAGACGAACAGATTGCACTAAATATTAATAAAATCTTTATTATTTATTTTTTTATAAGAACTTGAAATGACTTAGTAGCAATAAATTAATGTATGATAATGCAACATAATAAAAAAAATGTAATATATATATATATATATAGTCCAGTGCCTGTATATAAGACATGTG